CCCCTGTGCTGGGAGTGCAGAGACCACGGTCCCATCTGCACAGGTGTGGGGCTTACAGTCTCCCCTCCTACTGGAGTGGGAGGAGTTTGCCGTTACTGCTGGAGAGTGAGCTGCTCTGTGCTTCATCTGTGTGTTCCCAGGACCACACCCGTTTGTGGCTGCTTTTGGAGCTCGATTTCTGGGCTTTGGAATTACTACAGCAAGGGGCTCTGCCTGGGCCTAGGCAAGCATGGCCCTCGGGCCTTCCTCCCCAGCCTGGGGATGGAAGGTCAGGCTGGACGAGCTGCAGGCAGTGCTGGCTTTTGGGGAAGGTAAGGCGGATACCAGGGGCCTGTCTTGGACTGAGCATCAGGCCCTCTCCCGGCAAATACGAAACCAGGTCTCCCTGTTGGAGGAACTGGCGGGGGGGATGTCTAGGAAGCTTACAGCATGGAAAAGGGAAGTGGGGGTCCCCCAGGGAGCTACGGCCCACACCAGGGCCGATATCCAGCTGCTCTCTGGGCTGCTGGCTGAGTGCCGTGAACTTGCCAGCAGTGGCCTCCACTTCCTAGAACAGCCCCCCCCGTCCCTGGAGGTGGGAGAGGGTACCGAGGAGGAGGTAGTCCCTGAGACCCCCCCTGAGGTGGCTAGTGCCAGCAAGGCCCCTCAGGCCTCCCTCACCTATGCTGAGGCTGCTGAGGCTAGGGTCTTTATGGGGCTACCTTCTGACAGGCTCCGGGGTCTGCTTGTGTCCCTGAAGGCCCAGCATGCCGAGGCAGACTCGGGCCTAGCTGGGGTCCAGGCAGAGCTAAGGGAGCAGAGGGAAAAATCAAACAGGACCTCTAATTACAAAAGAGGTCCTTTGAGGGCCGCTATAGCTGAGAAATAATTAGTGGACTGAAAAGAAAATAGCAGACATCCAGGCCATCCTGCAACAGAGAGCCAAGGACGCTGTGAGGTCCAGGAGGCAGAGGGCTATGGAGGGCAGGAGGGACATGTCCCCAGGTGAGGAGTCCAGCAAGGACTTGGATTCCAACTCCCATCACTCACCTGGGGAGCCGTCTACCTCTGCCCTTGCTACTCCAGGGGGCGCTGCTGAGACGGAGAGGAAGGCCAGAGAGAAGGACAGTGAAGAGGAGTGGGACGGAGAGAAAGGTGAAGAGTGGCAGCTGAAAGTGCAGGACAGAGGTCGAGGGCTGATTAAGGAGTCTCTCCTCAAGTTTGGAAACGAACTTGGGGAGGACTCCGTAAAGGACAAAAAGAAGAAAAAGAAGAAAAAGAAAAACATCGCCCGGCGTCAGCCTGAGACCTCTGTCAGGGGGTCTGGAGATTCCACAGAGGAGGGTGAGTGCTCAAATGCTGAGTATATGTACAATGATGATGTTCAGGCCTTGCAGAAGCCTGGGGCCAGGGATACTAACCCTGCAGGTGGCAACACCTGTATGCCCCAGAAACCTGCACAACCTGCCTCTGTGGAAGTATCTGGGCCCCCTGCCGCCCTCCATGGTGACAGGGAGACCATCCCCGCCGGTACTATGGCGTGTACTGGTGATCCCATGGAGGGGTCCTTCCCTTGCTCCCTTCCCACTCCCTCCCTTACCTGCCTTCCCTCTGACCTTCCTCTCCGTGTGGTTGCGTCCCCTGGAGTGGCTGGTACCTCTGCCTCCTGTCCTCAGGCGGCTGCTGGGCAGGATGGCACTGGATGGAGCAGTCTGGAGCAGGGTGATGGCCCTCCTTTTCCCTCTGCTCCCTTGGAGCAAGCTCGACTGCTCTCCCCTACCAGCAAGTCTCCTCCCCTGTTTGTCTTCCAGTCTGTTCCCCCTGCTTCCCTATGTGTTCCCCTTATGTCTGCATGTGTAACCAGTCCCCCTGTTGTTCCTGGTGCCCCGGGTGCCGCGGGTGCCGCTGGCGCTATGGAAGACAGGACTGCAGGGGACTCCCATCATCCTCAGCCAGCAGTCCATACTGAGGAAACCGCCAGTGGAGGTAAGAAAAGTATGACTAACATTGTGTTTGACTCCACTGGTGGTTTAGGGATGGCTGAGGAGGATGGGAGTATGGATGTAACTGTAAATGTAATGATGGGACCTATTGGCCTTAGTAAAAAGGTCCACAGCCAGCCTGTTTGTATTAATGATGTTGCCCCTGCCCCTGGTGTTGTTGCCCCTGCCCCTGGTGTTGTTGCCCCTGCCCCTGGTGTTGTTACCCCTGCCCCTGGTGTTGTTGCCCCTGCCCCCGGTACTATTGCCCCTGGTGTTGTTGCCCCTGCCCCTGGTGTTGTTGCCCCTGCCTCTGGTTATGTTGCCCCCGCCCCCGGTACTATTGCCCCTGCCCCTGGTACTGTTTCCCCTGCCCCTGGTTATGTTGCCCCCGCCTCAGGTTATGTTGCCCCTGCCCCTGGTTCACTGGAGTTAGTTGGTACACAGGTGGCGGGCACGAGCACGGGCACAGGCACCCTGACAAAGGGTGCCGCGGTTATAAATAGTTTAGACGCACAAGCAGGTACACAGGTTCCCCTTAGGCACTCCCAGGTTGTCACCCAGGGTTCTGGTGTGACCGAGGCCTCTGGTTCAGCGAGGGGAGTCCGTCCGAATCATTCCCAGACGGCGGGTCCCGGTGCGCCCAATGCTTGGGCATCTGGGCCACCTCGCCTCTCTGCGGACGGGCCTGCTACGCGTCCTCAGGTTTCCTTTGGGAACAGGAGGAACGTGGTACTTCTCATCTGTGGGGGTGAGACCCAGGTGCCTGACAGACGGTGGCTGGTGACCCGGCTAAAGGATATGGGATTTGCGCCCGTGGACCTGTACGCGCTCATCCATGCCTCGGGCACCCGGGAGTTCGACGTCTCCTTTATGACGTCGCAGCTCCTGGATCGCTTCTGGGCTGGGTGGGAAGCGGCCAGGTCTGCACAGGGTACAAAGTGGGCAGGATTCACCGCTGTGGCCATTTCTCGCCAGGGTCTTAAGAAGGTCACTTTCCTGGTGAGAAATGAATCCATCCCCATAGCAGACATCCTTGTTTGGACTAAGAGGTTTGGGGATGTTAAATCCCCCCCTGTTAAGATCTTAGATGAGGATGGGATTTGGACAGGCGGATGGACTGTTTCAGTGTTGCTGCGGGAGATTCGAGGTGTCACACAGCATATGCCTAATAGTTTTTTCATCGGGGCTGACCGGGTATCCTGTTTTTACCCTGGTCAGCCCAGGGTATGTCACAAGTGCGGATCGTACAGGCATTACAGCAATGCCTGTACGGTCCTCAAATGCACTATGTGCGGCGCTGTGGGGCACCTCTGGGACAGCTGCAGGGAGATCCGGTGTCATCTGTGTTCAGAGATGGGTCACACGTACCGCACCTGCCCCGAAGCCCAGCACAATGTAGAGTCCATCTGGAGTCAGGAGCCGGTGGAGATGGACTCTGCTGGGTTAGGGGTTCAGGTAGCATCGTCATCTACAAGGCCCATCTCTGGCACAAGGGTTTACCTGCCCCAGCAACAACCCATCCTCCCCTCTGTCTCTGTCACATCTCAGGACCCTGGGAAGGCCACAAGTTCACGTCCCCTCACGAAAAGTGTACGTAGAGAGCGCACTACCTCCACAGCCATTATGGCTCCCCCTAGACCCCCTCCCCCTAGGCTCCCCCCTCCTAAATTCTCCACGGTGAAGGTTACCCCCATTGAAAAATCCCCAGATGCACAGTCCCTAGAGTGGAGCACGGTGAAAGGTAAGAAACCCCCCCCTCCAAGACCTCGACGCTGCCCTCACCCCGGAAGATCGCCATACCCCCTGCGGCGAAACCCCCGAAAGGGGGAGAATCCACTTATAAGGGTGGTGTGGCACGGGCGTCATCCTCCTCTTCGGGCTTGCAGGAGGCCCCGGTGCCCATATCTAACAGGTACGAGGCGCTGTCCTCCAGCTGGGCCGACTGTGAGTACGAGGAGGAGATGGCGAACCTCCCCGAGGTGGTGGCAAGGGTTGAGGTGGGACAGGAGGTGCTTCTGAGAGACGACGGGCCACTGTATCCTGGAGTCTCAGTGAAGAGGTTTCTCGGTTCCGACACGGAGGAGGAGGGGTACCGCAGAAGGAAGGGAAAGTCTCCTTATACTTAATGCCCTTATGGCGACTTTTCCTGTACTCTCTGTGGCTACGGTGAATGTAAACAGCATTAAGTCCAGCAGGGCCCGCTTTTTGGTTTACGACCACCTCAGCCGGGCTCCGTACAATGTCATCTTGGTACAGGAGACCCGGCTGGAAACCCTCGCGGCCCTGCACGCTGCAAAGCGGGACTGGAGATGGGGGCCCTCCTACTTCTCTCTAGCCACAGAGAGATATGGGGGAATCGCCATCCTATTTAAGGACGTTGATGTTAGCATCAACAGGGTTATTGAGTTGCAAAAAGGACGGTGTGTGGTTTTAGATGTCTCAATGGGCAGGCAACCTTTCAGGATAATTAATATCTATGGCCCCCAATCTAAGTGGGAGAGGAAGCGCCTGTTTATTGAGATAGAGCCTTACCTTTATACATCCCAGCAAATCCTGTTTGGCGGTGACTTTAACACCATAACTAGGCCTCAAGACAGGAGAGACGCCACTCAGAGGCTGGGGTATGACTCCTATTTTTTAAATAAGATGGTTAGTCAGGCTGGATTGGTCGATGTGTACCTTCATCACACTCCCAATCCCACGGGTGGGTACACTTATCACAGAGGTAGCTGTCAGAGTAGGATAGATAGGTTTTTCTTTAAGGAGAATTTCCCGGTGGCGGCACCCGTGCTTACACCGGTGGAGTTCTCCGACCATCACATTTTGTCTTGCGAGTTGAACGTCTATAGTACCCCACCTAAGGGTAGAGGGATCTGGCGGCTAAATTCAGACCTCCTGGTGGAACAGAGGGTTCAGCAAGCCTTCATGGAATTCTTTCACGATCAGATGACATTGGCCGACTTAGGCCAAACGAAGTCTGAGTGGTGGGAGATGGTGAAGGCCAGAACTCAACGGCTGTTTCGCAATCTCGCCCGGAACATGCAGTCCTCCAGGTACAAGATGTATCTGGGCTTGCTTGGGAGGTTAGACATCCTGATCTCGCAGGGAGGTGACCCCGAGGACATTGCGGCAGTTAAAAACCTGATGAGGAGTTATCAGTATGACAGGTACGCCTCCCTTGTAAAAGAGAGGGATCATGGGTCATACCGCTCGCCCGATCCTTATCTTAGCTGCAAGCGGAAGGAAGGTACCAAGTCCATCCCTAGTCTGCGGGGCACCGACGGGACCCTAGAGGAGTCTCCTCGCGGGATTCTGAAGGTGGTCCGCGACTACTATATTGAGCTCCTCGGAAAGGGCAGCCCCCAATGTAGCGAGGAGGGAACCTCCCACGGGAGAAGGGTGGATGACTTCTTGAGCGAGCTCACGCTCCCTGAGCATAGCGACCTCTCTTTTGACGAGTTGGTCAGCGAGATCACCATAGAAGAGGTCACAGAGAGTATCCAACAGCAGAACAAGTGTAAGTCGCCAGGTCCTGATGGTCTGACGGCCGAGTTTTACCAACAGTTCTGCGACCTCTTGGCCCCTCATCTGACCGAGGTGTTTAATGAGAGCTTGGCTCAAGGGCCACCCTCGATGAGGACTTCTGCCCTGATCTTGCTGTCCAAGCCGAACGTGCTCGACACAGCGGATGTGGGGAACTGGCGCCCCATATCCCTGTTAAATGTCGACAGGAAGGTCCTGGCAAAGATTTTGATGAAACGAGTACAGGGCCTAGCGAGGCGTGTCCTATCCACCTCCCAGTACTGTTCAATCGAGGGCAGAACTGTCTTTGATGCCGTTTTCGAAGTCAGGGAAGCCCTCGAGAAGTGCAGGGACGGAGAAAGGGGGATATACCTTCTGGCACTTGATCAGTCCAAAGCTTTTGATCGAGTAGATCACCGTTATCTGTGGTCAGTCTTGCGGAAGTATGGCTTGCCGGGAAAATTCGTCAATTGGATAATCACCTTGTACAGAGGGGCCGAAAGCTTCGCTCTTGTGAACGGGTGGAGGGGCAGGACGTTTAGGATCCGATCCGGGGTCAGGCAAGGCTGTCCTCTCAGCCCACTCTTGTACGTGTTTGCAGTCGATCCCTTCATCCGAAGGGTCGAGGCAGGCACGTTACAGGGAGTGGCCAGGGCTCCGGAGAGGCCTTTACGGGTTGTTGCCTACGCTGATGACATCTCCATAGTGGTCTCCAATACTCGGGAGGCCACGGAGGTGGATGATTTAATCCTAGCGTATTCTGCCGCTTCAGCCTCTCGTGTCAACAGGGACAAGAGCGTAGTTTTCTGGTGCGGGAAGGAGGGGGACCAGTTCCCTCTTCCAGACGGTTTCCCGAGGGCCCAGCCTGAAATTAAGATCTTGGGGGTGGTGTTCGGACCAGGGGATCTGGCTCTCAGGAACTGGACCGAACGGCTTGCCATAGCTTCTAGCAAGGTGGAGGAGAGCCACAGGTGGAAACTGACGTTCAGAGAACGGGTGAACCTAATCAAAACCTATGTTCTGACCGTATTCGGCTACGTCAGTAACATCTTCCTTTTGCCCAGGTCCCTCCACGCTCGGATGTTTGCGCTGTTCTTCCGCATGTTGTGGGGGAACAGGCTGAACCTCATCAAAAGAGAGGTCACTTACCTGGCCAGAAAGGACGGGGGTCTGGCCATGGTCAACCCCATCGTCTTTTTAACTAACAACTTCCTGAAAAGGAACTTTGGGGCTCTCCTGAAGGATGAGCAGCCTGGCTGGGTATGTATATTCAGGGAGTGGGTCACACCTTTCCTGGTGGACTGGTTTCAGGGTGGGAGGGTGAAGAGCATGAGAGTTCGGCATTCTAGCTATCTTCCGTCTTCGGTCATCGAGGGAGTGGGAATTCTGCGCAGGTGGAACGTCACGGTGGAGGAGGTTCGGGACACTCCCAAGAAGCTTCTCGACGGGAGGGTCCTGGCCACCCACTTTGGCATTCAGCTTGCTTTGAAGGACTGCCCGCCAAGTACTCTCGCCTCGGGGTTGAAAAACATCAACTCCAGGCGCCTTCCGGAGAAATACCGAGACGTGGCGTTTTTCTCCTTCCACGGTAGACTTTACGTTCGAGGGAACTTGAAGTACAGGAGCATAACGGATCGTGGTTGTCCTCGGGTGGAATGTTCCGGGGAAGTGGAGTCCATGGACCACTTCCTCCTCGAGTGCCCCTTTAACGTACAGGTCTACAAAGAGGTCTCAGCCGCCTTAGGCATCCCCTGCTTATCCCGCTGGACTTATGCGGAGTGGGCGTACGGGACGTCCAACTCAAGGGGAGGGCTTTTGATTTGGGCACTCTTTATGTAGTCAGTTCAGTGGTTAAGTATTTCACTTGGATGGCAAGGTGTCAGGTTTCCCTTCAACATAAAGACCTTTCCTGTCAGGTGGTGGTAGCAGACATTCTGAGGGCGGTTTGTGGGATCTATACCACCGAAAGGGCCTCTATGGATCCCACCATTTGGCAGCGTTTGTGGCGAAATCTCAAGGTCCACCCGCCTTGAACCGCTCCATGGGCGCCCTTGTCTTGGTGAAGGGAATTCCAAATCTGTCTTTACCTTTCCCCCGTAGATTTTTAACTGGTTTTTCTTTTCATGGAACGCTGCCACCTTTAGCAGACGAGTACCTTCCTCTGCGTCTAGGTAGTGCAGTGTAGTTAGGTTATGGTTATGGTTATGCACAGGTTATTTTTGGTATTGTTTGGGTTAGGGTGGGTTTCAGGTGTATGGACAAATTGAAAAATTTACTTTGGGTGGGAAAAAAAAAACACACTGGGTTTCTTTATGGACGGAGGGATGGACTCCTTGAGGGTGGTGTACAAACTGGATTTCATGTGGGTGGTGGGTCTATGGACAAAATTTTGATTTCATGTGGGTGGTGGGTTTGGATGTGATGAACTGAGAAAAGGACCCCATTTGGGTGGTGGGTTTGGGGGATGGACGGAGGGATAGACTCCATGAGGGTGGTGGGTTTTATGAATTGAAAATGGACTCCATTTGGGTGGTGGGTTTGGGTTTAAAGTTTGGGTTTAAAGTGTAGGTGGTGGGTTGGTGTTGATGGACGGAGGGATGGACTCCATGTGGTTGGTGGGTTTTATGAACTGAGAAAAGGACTCCATGTGGGTAATGGGTTTGTTTATGTGTGTATTTTATTTCACGCTTGGTTTATGTTTGTGTTTAGCTGGCTGTGGACTCGAGGTCAATTGGGTCTCCCCTTGTCCCCCCCTTGTTATGTAAGAGCTCCTTCAGGAGCATTTCAGCCTTTTTTCTCCCTCCCCAAGGCTTCATGAAGTAATGGAGCCCCCCGCCTTTTAATTTATCCCCTTATGATTTAGTTCCCCCCCTTTTCTGTTAATCCCTCTCCCTGTTATTCCCAGTTATTTAATTTGGTATAAGTTTACTCCCCTATTAGTGCCCCTTCCTGAGTTTTTATTTCGGTATTTGTTTAATTTTGGGGTATTTATGTTTCATTTGGTATTATGTTTGAATTGGGTATTATTTCAGTTGATTGTTTATTATTGTTATTTTGTTATTTATTTTGTTATTCTGTTTAATTTTTGAAGCATTTTACAAACTAAATAAAATAAAATACTGTCTCCCCTCCCACTGGAGTGGGAGGAGTTTGCCGTTGCTGCTGGAGAGGGAGCTGCTCTGTGCTTCATCTGTGTGTTCCCAGGACCACACCCGTTTGTGGCTGCTTTGGAGCTCGATTTCTGGGCTTTGGAATTACTACAGCAAGGGGCTCTGCCTGGGCCTAGGCAAGCATGGCCCTCGGGCCTTCCTCCCCAGCCTGGGGATGGAAGGTCAGGCTGGACGAGCTGCAGGCAGTGCTGGCTTTTGGGGAAGGTAAGGCGGATACCAGGGGCCTGTCTTGGACTGAGCATCAGGCCCTCTCCCGGCAAATACGAAACCAGGTCTCCCTGTTGGAGGAACTGGCGGGGGGATGTCTAGGAAGCTTACAGCATGGAAAAGGGAAGTGGGGGTCCCCCAGGGAGCTACGGCCCACACCAGGGCCTATATCCAGCTGCTCTCTGGGCTGCTGGCTGAGTGCCGTGAACTTGCCAGCAGTGGCCTCCACTTCCTAGAACAGCCCCCCCCGTCCCTGGAGGTGGGAGAGGGTACCGAGGAGGAGGTAGTCCCTGCCAGCAAGGCCCCTCAGGCCTCCCTCACCTATTCTGAGGCTGCAAAGGGTGAGGGGGTTGAGGCTAGGGTCTTTATGGGGCTACCTTCTGACAGGCTCCGGGGTCTGCTTGTGTCCCTGAAGGCCCAGCATGCCGAGGCAGACTCTGGCCTAGCTGGGGTCCAGGCAGAGCTAAGGGAGCAGAGGGAAAAATCAAACAGGACTCTAATTACAAAAGAGGTCCTTTGAGGGCCGCTATAGCTGAGAAAAAATTAGTGGAGCAGCATCTATCCTACACCCTGCTCCAGACTGAAAAGAAAATAGCAGACATCCAGGCCATCCTGCAACAGAGAGCCAAGGACGCTGCGAGGTCCAGGAGGCAGAGGGCTATGGAGGGCAGGAGGGACATGTCCCCAGGTGAAGAGTCCAGCAAGGACTTGGATTCCAACTCCCATCACTCACCTGGGGAGCCGTCTACCTCTGCCCTTGCTACTCCAGGGGGCGCTGCTGAGACGGAGGGGAAGGCCAGAGAGAAGGACAGTGAAGAGGAGTGAGACGGAGAGAAAGGTGAAGAGTGGCAGCTGAAAGTGCAGGACAGAGGTCGAGGGCTGATTAAGGAGTCTCTCCTCAAGTTTGGAAACGAACTTGGGGAGGACTCCGTAAAGGACAAAAAGAAGAAAAAGAAGAAAAAGAAAAACATCGCCCGGCGTCAGCCTGAGACCTCTGTCAGGGGGTCTGGAGATTCCACAGAGGAGAGTGAGTGCTCAAATGCTGAGTATATGTACAATGATGATGTTCAGGCCTTGCAGAAGCCTGGGGCCAGGGATACTAACCCTGCAGGTGGCAACAGAATGCCCCAGAAACCTGCACAACCTGCCTCTGTGGAAGTATCTGGGCCCCCCGCCGCCCTCCATGGTGACAGGGAGACCATCCCCGCCGGTACTATGGCGTGTACCGGTGATCCCATGGAGGGGTCCTTCCCTTGCTCCCTTCCCACTCTCTCCCTTACCTGCCTTCCCTCTGACCTTCCTCTCCGTGTGGTTGCGTCCCCTGGAGTGGCTGGTACCTCTGCCTCCTGTCCTCAGGCGGCTGCTGGGCAGGATGGCACTGGATGGAGCAGTCTGGAGCAGGGTGATGGCCCTCCTTTTCCCTCTGCTCCCTTGGAGCAAGCTCGCCTGCTCTCCCCTACCAGCAAGTCTCCTCCCCTGTTTGTCCCCCAGTCTGTTTCCCTGGATGTGTCCAAGTTTGTCTTCCAGTCTGTTCCCCCTGCTTCCCTATGTATTCCCCTTATGTCTGCATGTGTAACCAGTCCCCCTGTTGTTCCTGGTGCCTCGGGTGCCGCGGGTGCCGCTGGCGCTATGGAAGACAGGACTGCAGGGGACTCCCATCATCCTCAGCCAGCAGTCCATACTGAGGAAACCGCCAGTGGAGGTAAGAAAAGTATGACTAACATTGTGTTTGACTCCACTGGTGGTTTAGGGATGGCTGAGGAGGATGGGAGTATGGATGTAACTGTAAATGTAATGATGGGACCTATTGGCCTTAGTAAAAAGGTCCAAAGCCAGCCTGTTTGTATTAATGATGTTGCCCCTGCCCCTGGTGTTGTTGCCCCTGCCCCTGGTGTTGTTACCCCTGCCCCTGGTGTTGTTGCCCCTGCCCCCGGTATTATTGCCCCTGGTGTTGTTGCCCCTGCCTCTGGTTATGTTGCCCCCGCCCCCGGTACTATTGCCCCTGCCCCTGGTACTGTTTCCCCTGCCCCTCGTTATGTTGCCCCCGCCTCAGGTTATGTTGCCCCTGCCCCTGGTTCACTGGAGTTAGTTGGTACACAGGTGGCGGGCACGAGCACGGGCACAGGCACCCTGACAAAGGGTGCCGCGGTTATAAATAGTTTAGATGCACAAGCAGGTACACGGGTTCCCCTTAGGCACTCCCAGGTTGTCACCCAGGGTTCTGGTGTGACCGAGGCCTCTGGTTCAGCGAGGGGAGTCCGTCCGAATCATTCCCAGACGGCGGGTCCCGGTGCGCCCAATGCTTGGGCATTTGGTCAC